ATCTCAGTCGGATAAACCATCCTTAGCAACTTCCATATCCTCTTCCATTCGACAAATCTCTTTCAATACCTTGTCAAGCTACAATCAATCCAGAGTCGGAACCGGTTTAATTTTTCCTAGCCGGACCGGACCGGCCAGGTTACCGGCCGGTTTAATGCGTAGTTCAACCGGTGATAAACCGGCAAAAAACCGGTCGATTTCATGGCAGATTAAAGTCCGAATTTTGTGAAAAACTGATTTTTTGCAGAAAGCTAAGCTTGTGTATTTCCAAAATCTTCCTGTTATGGTTATTTCAGTTTTAACGTGTGGTATTGAGCACGAAGTTCAACCCAATACGAAACGAAGAAAAATTCAATATCTCAGCAACAAAGCGCCATGGGGATGAACCAACTTAGGGTATTTCACTACTCACTGAGGTTTACAAGATACAAGTAGTCCGAGTTCAAAAGCGATTTATAACCTCAAGAGGTTCCCTCGTGAGAAACATACATCCAACACCTTTGAACTTACCAAACCTGTCTGGTTAGCCGTCTCTTCCAATATCAAAAGCGTAACCGTGTGTAACGATTCAATCGAATGATAAAACGGAAGATCGACAGCTGAAATTTCGCCATCGGAATTCTGCCCTTGTCGTTTTTGCTCCATATTTTCGACAAACTGTCGAAAGTCAAATCTGATTTTTGACATTGTCGAATTTCACGTTGTTTTTCTGCTATTGTCGAAAGTTCTTGTAATTTCCACAATTGTTGAAAATCCATCGGCATTTCGACAAATTACAAAATGTCTGTAAAAGTAGTTCAAGTGGCACAATACCAAAAACATTCGTCATAATGTTTACACTTATCTAAAACCAAAGATTAAAACAGAATCTTCTAATAATTCACAAATGAAAATAAAACGACAAAATAAGACTTCTTTTTCCTTTTCAAATACAGATCCGCAGAGTAACCAAAAAAAATAGAGTTTCTGTATCTCACAGCAACTGAACTGTGACAAACAAAAAATCACACAAATTACAAAAATACACAGATTATAGTTTATTAAAATTCCTGGTTATTATCCGCTGTAAGAGCTCCTACTCCTATTTCTGCTTAGGTGCGCTCTTCCACATTAGTAGTTACTGCTGTATTGATTTTAATACGTTTTTGATATCATATCCGAGAACATATTTATTTTTTGAAGTTTATTTGTGTATTATGATTAGTGAGCACATGATTAGGATTGGTCTAAGAAATCAATATAAAGAAACTTATTGCTTACTCTACAATAAATCATGTGTCATTATTGCACAAAGTTGCTTTTTTCCCTCCTGATATTCATGCTAATTTAATCTGCGATATTTTTAAGATTTGGATTAGTAATGATTATGTCATATCATAATCAGGTTGACGCTATATTAAGGTTACATTATTCCAGTCCTGTTTTCAAATTTTTGTATTATTTTTCCCTGTCTAAGATTGAGCGGATTACCTTTTCTGAGAGGGTATTTTTTTCTAAGCATTTTATTATTGCGAGAATATCAAACTCTAATTTACAGTTAGTTGAAAGTACTATTTAAATAATACTTTTAAAGTTGAGATTTTATTATAGTTAGAATTTAATTAAATCCGAAGTAGGAATGGAGGCTTCCTACTTTAAAAATTAATTTGTTTTTAAGAGTTATTTTAATGACTTTTATTGTGAATTATTATGTGAGTTATTTCATCAATTTAACATATGAGATTTTTATTTTAAATTCTTAGTTTATATGTTAATTTTAATTTTTATATCTATTATAACGGGCGGTCCAGCTTAAATTGCCGGTTTTGATGGGCAGTTTTCTCAACTTAGACTAGACCAGAAAGTTTGGTTTTTATGCTAAAGATAGAGAATTTTTATCTTTTTTAAATAAGCATGTACTATTGTTTTGTAGCAATAAAATTTTTGGATACCACAAAAACGTCATTCGCTCAACTACAAACTCAGAAATGTGTAAAAATCAATTTTTGCCAAGTTAGATCGAGTTCAAAAATTTCTTTCGTGTAGTAAGAGATGTAGAATTTTTCGCTGTATCTCGTGGTGTGTTGAGTTGGATCCGCTTAGTTAGTTCTCCTTCGAAAGGTAACTTACAAAACATCAAAAAGACGTCCACGGGCCACGGAATCTTGCTTTTCTTTAGCAATTTTCTCACGACTTGGTCTTACAAAAATTATCCTTTTTATATGAACAGATGCAGAATTTCGAGTTCTACAAAATGCTCTAGTCAAATAAGAAAACTGATCGATTACAAATCTATAGTCGCTGCAGAAGTATATCCCTATGAAAAATTCCTATGTTTCACTGCTTGGCCTTTTAGTACCTTGGTGATAAATATGCATCGGTTGAGTTCTCAACAGGGATAAATGAAAAGACGAAAATTTTTACAATAGGCGCCAAGACTAATAGGTGTATAAATGTATGAAATAGTAGATGTGATTTTTAACATGGAAAATTTTTATTCTTTTCCTAAGTTCTCTCTTGTTATACGTGTTATATGATGAAATCGACGATTGTAGGTAGGTCACCATTGAAAGAAGTAGGAAAAATTGAAACTTTAATGATCACAAATAAAATCCAAAACTAAATGTAGAGTAATTATAGTGATTTTGATTTTGAAGAATCTGGTGCAAAAGCTTGTGACCATATTTCTATTAATTACGTTCTAGGTTCTTGTCGGTATCGATTCTCTTCTTTTTACAAGATCACTATTGTGAAGAATAATCGATGGATGACGGATTGGAATTCTTAATTAAACATTCAAGCATTGAAAAGGTTGAAACTCATTCTTCCTGTAAAAGTTGAGCTTTTGCACGTTGTTCAAAGCTAAAGACCAGTCTTCTATAGAGTAAATGTGCCTAATAAAAACGGACCTTTTAAGAGTTGCGGAGCTTCTTTTTACCGTACAATAATTTCTTAACCGACCTATGCACTTCACTCTGAAACTTCAAGCGCTAAAAAAGTCGATTTTTTAATCTTTCGCATAATGTTTATCGCTTATTGAGTTGTCATCATTGATAACAACGGTTTATTGCCATAGAGGGAGCGTAAATACTGTATTCAAGTATTTTATCGAGTCTTAAAGAGAAATTCAAGGCTATCTCGATTAAATTTTATTAGAGTCATAAAGAAATATTGACTCGGTCAACATAACAACTGGTATCATGACTATTAGATGTGGAGTACGTAGCCTCAATAAAATTTAAGGCTCCTCTCTCAGACATACGAAATTTTTGTAAAAAAAGTCAATATTTAAAATTTAATCTATTCATTATCAACATTTACAATAAATAGTAGCATACTTTTATTTATTTTGATCAAGACGAAAAGAATTTAAACGCAAAACACCATTAAACATTAATCGATAATGAAGCTTTGAAATCTATGGAGTCAATAAGCACAGATGTATGTGGTTAAAACAAAGGAGTAATCAGCAGTAGTTTGATTAGCTACCTTCTGATTAGGCACATTTTTCCTAATAAGAACGCCAAGCAAAGACTAAGCAAAAAATGGCTTGATGCTGGTGTTACCCAAAACTGAAATTTTTGATCTGCTAAACGAAAATAATAAGGAGTAGAAAATTCCTGTCCACGTTAATGAGATTATATGAACTTTCATCCGATTGAATATTAAAATGAACAAGCGATAATCTGCACATGCGAATTTTTTCTTCTTTTGTGCAGTATATTAAGTGATATGTAAATCTCCTCTCAGAATAGAAGACCACCCTATACTAGAAGATCACCCCGAAAAAGAAGACCACTTCGGTGAAATGTTTTTGAAAATAGATATAGGACATTATTTTACGTTTTTTCGATTTTTTTGGCGGACACAGTAGAAGACTAGTGGTCTTCTATTTTGGGGAGGTGCATTGGTTCGATAATATTGTGATTATGCCATTGAGGTGAACGAAAAATTATTTGTGTAAATATTTGTTTCTGCTCACTATCATTTTTTTAATACATTTACTTTATTGTGTAAAAATAACCCGATCACTGAATGTATAGAAGATATACTAGTCTATCAAACAGCCAATTTGTAGAGAAAAGATCTTACATATTCTATATAGTTTCTTATGTTTTCTTATTCTTTTGATCATGATGAAAGAAATAGCTTAATCCTCGCTACGTTCAAACTTCTTTCCTTAATACAGTGTGTGTCATGTGTCATTCTTCGAGAATGACATAGACACACTCTCTATTAAGGGAAGAACTTTGAATGTATTAAGCTATTTCTTTCATTATGATCGAAAGAATAAGAAAACACATAACAAATTATATAGAACATATATGATGAACAATATGGAATAGTGGTTATTCATTATTGATATTAGACAGGCGGATTGCTCACTAATGGGAGAGTTCTTGTATTTTGCTTGCTTCATATCTTGATCCAGAGAACATCATACTTCTACCTGTACAAAACAACATCATCAGACAGTATATGCAAAGAGCTTTCATTTGATGTGCAGGATGTCAACTAAATGTTTTTTTCCTGGCGAAAATAAATGTATTCTCATATACTATTGTATAAATATACCGACTAAACAGCATTGATGCCATATCTCAACGACCGCATAGAAGCGCATATCAGAAGTGCTATTAATGCAGATCAGGTATATGATGAAAAGCGACGAATTGTACAGGATACACAAACCGCTTTTCATCGTTGAATTGAGACGCCAACTTTAAGTACTAAGTTATGCCTATTGAGACCCTTCACGTACCGTATTTCATGCCAAAGTAATACCGTATAAAGGCGCGTAAATTAATGATTTTTTTGTCACATTTACGCCTAAATTTTTCGTAGGGTAGTTTCGTGATAGATCATGGTTTAAAAATCTCCAGTGGCCGAACGACCGTCATTTCTTGGCTTACGGTGCAGATTATAATAAAAATGACATCAAGATTTATTCTGCAACAGCAATAATACAAAAGAAGCAAAAGAAATAGGCTATTGTCGTGCATCATACAGTTCTTATATTTTTAAAGTTGAAATATTTCTAGTCGAGGTGGACTATGATTACTTAGAACCAGATATTTATCACCCATTATACACCCTGCTAAGCACTGTTCTTTATCACACTTTTCATCTGTATCATTAGTGATCAACCACATTGAATCCTTATGTCGATTCAAAAATAACCACTGATTATTATTGCTAAGTGAGAACAACTCTGAGTTGCAATCGTGTGTAGCGTTTGCTTCATCCAAAGCTGAGCCACGACGCATTTGCTTCATATTGAAATCAAACGTATCACAATGCCAAGTGCCATCTTTACTAATGATTGCTGCAATTAGACTAGATTCATTGCTTCTAATACAATTAACACTAGCATCTTTTGGATCTAATATATCTTCTCTATTCCATTGTTTAATTAATCTCCATGATGGTAACGAGAAACGTTGAATCAGAAAACCTCTGTTCGTACTAATAAAGACGTCAGTATCATTCGTTGTTAATGACCAAAAGTGTCCTTCGTCCGCTTTGACTTCGTGTATTCTAATCAGTTTTAAGGTTTCCGGACTTAGCGAAAATAATGCTTTAGAGTGAAGAACAAGAAATGCAAATAAATATGATGACCAGCATAAATCTTCAACAGCACCGTCAAGCGTTATGTCGATTATAAAATCTTTCAACAGCTTTTCACGATCATATAAAACAAGTTTTGCCGGCCGTGATTGTCGTATCAAAATATGCTCAGCTGATGAAGCAATACTGCGCGCGTCTTTCTTCAAATGAATTTGTCTAATTAACTGCATTTTGTTCAAATAATCCACACTAAATAATAACGGATGATGCTTCTCAAATTCTGTCTTTTCTTTTGTTATTTTAATTGTATCATCCGATTTTATTTGATCATGGAGGATATCGATTAAAGTTTCTCTTGAGAATGTATCGATTTCTTGTTGAATTTCATTTAATTTTGTGTCGAGTAATTCTAACTCATGTGGGTGAACGGATTTTTGTTTTGTTGTCAATGTTGGGAGGTATTTTTTCAATTCATCTGATCGTTTTTCTTTCATATTCTGTAATTCGCTTGCCACTTGTGCGTAAATCATGTCAAATTCGTTTAATTTCAAACGGTGAAATTCGTTGATTGATTCTATTTGTTTTTGCTTCCATTTATCTAATATGTTATAACATTTTACACGCAATGGTTCTATTGTTAATATTTCAATGTTTTGTTGGATTTGGTTCAAACGATCATTCATTGCATGAAATCTGTTTTGGATATCTTCTTGCTGATGTTGATTCAAGTGTTCCAGACACAACCACAATGAACAATGAGGACACTGGCAATACTGATGACCATAGCATGCTTCCTCGTTATCGTTTCTCATAACATGTTGACAAATACCTTTATAACAAACAGATTTTGGTGCTGAATAAGATAAAGTCATCTGAAACAAGAAAAATGAGATAGTACATTGCTAGAGGTAGTTGTAGACATAACATTATTGTGTGTGTCCATCACTGGTAGAGTGAGCAGATTGAACACACACGCCAGTTTTTTTTGCTGTAAGATGACTTTAGTTCCAACCAAGCGTACTCAACCTGTTTATACACGGTTAACTCTGAGAATTTAAATTACGATCCCTTCCTGTACACTGCAAGAACTGGATTTTAACCAAATACAATCATTCCCGCATCTTGATTTTACGACGATATTCACACATTAACTTTATTATGGCACATCCAAAATATTTCGTTTTATCTTGAACAACTTCAAATATTGCGTCACTGTAACACAAGGGTTCAAACATTTTCGTTACCACAGAGGTTGTTGGCAGAATCACCGAGAAATTGATCTGGAAAGCAAGAACTTGCGTGTGAATGATTTCTTGGTTTGATATTTTTATCGAACATGTCTTCCTATTGTATAACAAAGAAGAAATTTCAATAAAACGTCAACTATTTTTTCGTCGTCATCAACAATCGAAGAACAGAGACCAAAAAAGCATTTTATTATATTATCGTCTTACATGACGAAGAAAAAGGCTTACGAACTCACGCTTCTACACTCAAAATAAGGAGAACGAAAGAACAACTTTATAATATATTTAAAAACAATAAAACAGACTTGCAGTTTTGAATTAATAGCATTAGATTTCTTACAAACAAGAATTTTATTCCTTCATATATTTATTATTCCATATGCACATCTTAATTGAATCTCTGATTTAAATAGATTTTATCAAAGACATTTTTAAGTTATTTTGAGGTATGTATTACTTTGAATGAAACCTGTTGATTCAACCATAACCACAAACAGCACACTAATTATATTTAACCTAGACTAATGAGTATTTCTTTTGCGTTTATTTAACTCACTTGTAACAAGGAAAAAAACAAGACTAAATAAATCAATGATAAAGTTTTTCTGTTATAAAAGGATCCTCGTTTTACCATAAGCAATCTTTTAACATATACGCAAGTGATTTTAAGGACGACACCAGTTTTATTTAACAAAGATTTATCCAATAATGCTGTGGGCAGGTAACACTATAGTAATCCTAGACGTAAACATATTCATTGACATAGCTTTCTTCTTTTGGTTTCATTTATATGCGAATGTTCGTGAAAGCATGTTTTGGGATGAAACTGTTGCAGAACTGATAGCGTGTAAAATATATGACAAAGTAACAGAATTGGAATATCAAAGTGATATGAAAACGTATTTTACAAATTTCAAAAAGTAAACAATAAATTTTGGATTTATTCATATTTCCTCTATCAATAATTTTTGTAGATTATGTGACGAACCTGCAGTATTCGTTATTGATCAATGCTATGCTGAAGATGAAGAAAGAACAAAGAAAAAGTGCTTTAGAGTTTTTGGTAAGTGCTTTAGACTAATTATAGAAGATCATATTCTCACTGTTTATAAGGATACACCTCCAGGTGCACTGTACGTATTCAAATACCATACAACTTCGCTCATCTTCATCTCATCGAAATTTGTACTGCAATTTTTGATATTTTATTTTTCGGAAGAATTTGATAAGAAACAAATAGATTAAGTTTGAATCTGAACTAGACTATAAAAATGTACATACTGATCGAAAATGAAAGTTAGTTACAAGTCAACTTTAATGTTCCGATAAGTAAAAATTCTGAGTAAATTGCATACTTTGACTTTTTGAGAAACACAACAAGTGTTTTTGAAAAATTTTAGATCTATGGTTATTAAGTATTAATTTTGATTATTTAACCTTCTATCGCTTCACTAGACCCCAACTTATGAGTAAAATATTTATATCGATGTGGTAGTTAATGTCCTATTCGAATATGGATGGATCTTATGAAAATTAAGATATATTTCAAGGTTCAAAACGAAAAGTACAAAAACAGACACGAATTTCGACCAGTATTTGCACATTTTCATTATCTTGTCTACATCAGTCTTATCTTTCTACCCCAAAAAAGTGTACAATTTCTAAAACTTTCTTGAATTCGACACTAAAATGCTGTGATAAAACTTACTATTTAGCATCAATAAATCCCGTTTTCGACGGGCTTTCATCTGGTATAAAATTCATTACCTACCCTATTCGCAATTATAGCGTTCCTCTCCTGGAAAAACATTTTTACGCACCCTGTATAAGCAGAAGCGAGTTTCGGAAAAAATTTTCAAGTTGGTTTTTAAGGAGACCTTTGGAAAACCAGATCAGAACTCCCGAAAGTCTCATAGCAATGTAGTCGTTTTTTATATGGATATGTAGCTACAAGTGTCCTCTAAAAAATGGGAGTCAAGCGAGAGCTAGATTTTCTACGGCTCTGGCGTTGTACCGGATTTCCTACGAGTCTCAGGACTGGCACCTGGTGACTCTTCGTAGCCTTGAAAGCGAATGGACTATAGATAATCGATCATGCTGAGTCTCGTGGCAATATTTGCTTTTAGAAAAAGTTTAAAAGAAAACTAGGGTTTCAAGACTATTTTCACCTAATATTAAAGAATTCAGTGTTCACTCAAAATACATCAGAACGGGTTCGAAACTTCGGTATGTAAAGCATTTAGGCTGCTCTGTATCCTATTTACAGGAGATCGAGAAAGAGATTTTATAGAACTCTAATGCTATCCGAAAGGGTTTCTGGAAAAGCCATTAATAAAAATATGATTTTTCGATTTTTTCGATCTTATAATCACGTTTAGCGGACAGAATTAATTATATCCTGAAGTTTTGAACTCGTTCTGATGTATTTGAGTGAATACTGAACTTTTTAATATTAGGTGAGAACAGTCTGAAAACCCTAGTTTTCGTAAAAGTCCCTCTTTCGATAGACTTTTAAACTTTTTCTAAAAGCAAATATTGCCACGAGACTCAGCATGATCGATTATCCATAGTCCATTCGCTTTCAAGGCTACGAAGAGTCACCAGGTGCCAGTCCTGGAACTCGTAGGAAATCCGGTACAACGCCAGAGCCGTAGAAAATCTAGCTCTCGCTTGACTCCCATTTTTTAGAGGACACTTGTAGGTACATACACATATAAAAAAACGGCTATATCGGCCAGGTATTTCGACTATTGACCCATGTGGGCATATTTTTGAAAGACTCATAAATTCTTTATCTTTCTATATATCAGCTTTGGTCAAGGACTTTGACATCAGACGAAAACTTTTCGGAAAAAATGATAGGGTATTTGTTGAAATGGCCAACAGAGAAGATATGAAAACGTTTTTCAAGGGGATCAGAAGCAATTTTTAAAAGTCATAAGTATCTGTAAGTAAACTATGAAGGATTTGCGATCATTTTCCAGCAGAAACCGATACCCGTCCTTTCCCTATAAATAAATACGATATGCTTTATTTTTCATGTTTTAGTTACGTATTGAATTCGAATTAACTGAAAAAAATTCAATGAATGATGCCATCGGTTATTTGAATGAATTTATGCAAATCACTTGTGTAATATTTAATAAATCACATCAAGTATGTGTGAAAACAACAGTGATCTTACTTTAGATATATAAAAAACAATTATATCAGATGCATTCATTTTGTTATTAACTGTGCTTTACCTATGTTGTGACAACGAGAAGAATCTGTTAAAAATCCTTTCCAATGTGTGAGATTTCCTCCTGTTTCCTTTTCAACTGAAACCAATCATTTTTTTGAGAACTTCATTCTATGAAAATGTGTGGAAAACACATTTTCATACAATTTTCTGAGATCTCGTATTTGTCATGAAAAGAACGAGGTTTATGTGTTACGATCAGCGAAAATTCTAAGGGTATCTATATTCATGAGAAAGCCTTCATCAAATTCTTACTCTAGATGATTGATATGCAGCAACTGTGTCACTTTAACCTCAATTTTATTACACATTCATGGTTATGTGCCTCACTAGTGACTAGTGCAATGTAATTTGGCAAGTCCAATCGTTTGTACACATTTTCTTTATGAATGGGCAAAAATTTTAATACGCATAATAAAGTAACAGCAGTAATCTTCATTTTATTGAAATATATATAATTAAATTAAATTTTATGGCGCATCTTGAGAATACTCTTTATAATCGCTTAGAAAAGGCAGGCGTGGAGAAGTGGCTGCGCTATGTTGACGATACGCTTGTGCTGTTAGCACCGGATGCATCGGTTGAAGATATCGTTGAAATTCTAAATACATTTCATCGTAGTATTCGGTTTACTTGTGAACAAGAGGAGAACGGCTATATACCATTCTTGGATGTTAAGGTTATACGATCCTTGGATAGTAATCAATTTCAGACAACGGTCCACCGAAAAAAGACCTTTAGTGGATTAATGACTAAATGGTCTTCATGTGTTCCACATAGCTTCAAAAAATCGGCGATTGTGAGTATGATTCAAAAGATCACTTGCAATCTGCTCCACTTATAAATTATTGAATGCGGAATTCCAGGAAATAAAGCGTCTTGCTATGCTAAACGGATATCCTGAAACGTTTATTAATACACATATCGGTATAAGACTTAGTAAATGGTTAGAGAAAAGTAATGGTAAGAGTAAGATTACTTCTAAAACACCTGACAATGAAAACAAAAAACATATTTATGTTGAGCTTCCGTATGTCGAAGGACAGACAGATGTACTCAAAACACGGCCACGTCATTTTGCTAACAGGATACGTCCAGAGGTGGACCTTCGTTTTATATTGAAACCCTCGCCAAGTGTACAAACTTATTTCAAAAATAAAGACTCAACTCCTAAACATCTAGAATCTGATGTTGTGTACTCTGTCGGATGTTCAGGATGTACTGTCGGATACGTAGGCAAAACAGGACGTCAAGTGATCAGACGATTACGGGAGCACGGAATGGCAAAAGACGGATTCCCAAATGCAGTTCTTGATGAGTCTGAGGATGAGATTAATCTTAATGTAACACAAGATGCAATTGGATCAATTCGAAATAAACGCAAAACAAAATGTCAGCCATAGCCTAATACGGCATCACTTAGGAGATCAGCTAGAATACAAAATAAACGGTTAAGTGTAAAAGCTGACATGAAGCTAAGTAATACCCATATTTATACGGAGGAAAAGATCTTAATATCAGAGGAATGTAAATCGTCAATAGCCAAACACAAAGTCGATAGTGGACATGCTATAGACTGGACAAACTTTGGACTTGTCTGGCGAGACCGAAATCCTTATTGTCTGCTACTAACAGAGTCGCTTGTTATTCAGGCTTATAAACCTGAATTAAACTTGACCCTACGCATGCATCATAACTAGTAAATCTAACCAGCTAGTGACACGTTTATGTTTTTATTCTTGAAAATGAACTTTTAAAGTTCGAAATGTTGAAAATTTTCGTTTTTAATTTAATTATATATATTTCAATTTGACGTAGATACTTAACATATTGTACACAATGTACTATTTTCAATTCTAGTGTTAAACTGAATGACTTAGCCAGGACCCTTCTATTGATGTTTGTAGATAGTTAGATGTGATGAGTTCTTTCCTTCTAAGTCAATTTCAAAGACAATTGTCATCTAATTGTAACTCATGTAATACATGAAAAATTGCTGAATTTACATTTTATTTTAAATGTTTATGAAATAATATAACTTCACGGCGTGCTTTAAAAACCGATAAAATAGCGGTGATACTCTTCCATAACGAAATTAGCGCATTTCCGTTCTAAACGAAAAAACATGCAGTAAATTTTTCGTGAACGATCTCTCCTTCAATCTGCCATTTCGACTCGCACACTTCATTATCCTTCTTGGTTTTTCTATTCTTCATCATAATTTGTATTTTATCTGAGTAAACTACAGTAAGTTGAACCTCATGTCTCGAACAAATAGTATTCATTGAGTATCATAAAGGCTCTTGTTTATTTCCCAAATAATTCATGTGATAGGAATCTTGGGTTTTAGATGGAACAATTGCTCAATGAAATATTTTTGGACTACATTGTTATGTACCTGAAAGGGTATGATATTGTCTATTCGTGTAGTAATGTAAATGCTCGTTTCGATGAACTCATTTACTCTTATACGTGTCATTTAAATATAACTATTCCATATGATCTTGATCAATTATATCGAACTATACTACCAAGAATTTGTAAGCATATTCGATCATTTAAACTTGACGATAAAGAACATCGATTAATTACAAAAGAAATGCATCGATTCACATTCTTGCAATCACTCACAACAATGAACATCATGGATAGTAAAATATATCCAGTATCATCAATTCAACACTTGTCAAATTTAAAAACGGCTTTTGCGTGTACAATTCATAATACCGATTGCGCTAAGATTGTTTCACAAGACATTTGTAAATATATAATTCAAGTCGAACGACGAATTGGAAAATTATCAATCAAAAACTTAACGTTTACACTGTACAAGAATTGTATGGGATTGTGTACCAATTTGAAAAAACTGACGGTCAGAGTGCGTCGTGTCTGCGATATGCTTACACTAGTACAATATGTACCGTTAATTGAATATTTAGACGCGAAACTTGTTGTAAGGTTCTTTACTGAATTAGCAGAAACCCATAATATATCCACATGTATTCAGTTAAGTCAGAATCAACGATCGTAATCTCTGGTTTAGTTTTATCTAAAAATAGGTTAAAATAATTGCTAATTAGTAATCTTTTGGGAAAGCAAATACAGGGTTTTTTAATGTTTGAAAATCTTTATCAAATGATATATTTCTTCACGATCTCTAAGAAATCAGTAACTTGCAAATAAAAGTGTAAGGCATCAGAGTGGCGCTAATTAGCATTAATTAGCAGTCTGATAGTTGAGAGGGATCTGATTCTGTTGAGTTCCATCTCCTGATTACAAATATGATATTGACATTACTAGAAAACGTTTAGGAGTTGAAAAAATTCAATTTTTTTGTTGAAGTCACCTAAAGTCTAGTCTAATTATGACAATAAAAAATTCATAACTCCTCACATATAATTTTGTTTGACACTAAAATTTCAGGTTGTGTAGCAGACAATACGAGAACGCTTTTGTTCAAGTCGGGTCTTGTTTGGAAGTCAGCTGATGGAGATATAACACTTTTAGTGACCATGGGATTTTCGAAAAATCAACTTTTTTTCTACTTTTTTGAACCGTTTACTTTCTTCTTAGACTTATACCATATTGCAAGTACATCTACAGATGCACAATGATCTGCTCTATCCAATGGTGAAAAGCGTTTTTCGAAAAGCTAGAAGGCTATTGAGAAAAATTTTTTTATTGCATATGTATCATATCGGTACCCATCGATCAAACTTTTTAGTTTTCTCAACAACTAGACAGCAGCAAACTCTAAAAACTATCCATACATATGCGCCTTGTAATCCTCAGCTTCACCCTATCAGACCAAATCAAAACGCACAGATTTTTGAAAACCGGCGGTGTTCTTTATCAATGCAACTTCGTCAGTGTTCTCTTCAGTTTTTAACAACAACAGAGTGACTTTATCGTATATGATCTTTTGCTGTATATGTGGTACTGCAGAATGCTAAATAAACGTCGATCAGTCTGTCCACCTGTCAAGGATTTCTCCTGTAAGTAGAAGTGTTTCACTGACAATTAAAGATGTCTAACTGAAAATTTTGTTATGGCCCTGACCTGATACGGGTAAAACTACTGAGCGTGAAGCTTTTGAAGCTTTTTAAGGTTTACCGTTATTTTCGAATCATCTCTGAACAGTTTAGCAAGTTTCTATGTTCATAGGTCGAATTGTTAATACAATAAGAAATTAGTATCCTTAATATATCCGCGATAGAAAGTCAGTAGCAGTAATTTATAAACTGATCGGTAATCAACATTGCAATGAAAACTTAAGATAATGTTGAAGGTCATTTACTTTTGAAAACAAAAATCCATGCGTAAGGTATAAAAAACGAATGCCATCACAGGTTGTGGCCATTTACTGTTATTATTAGTCTGTTCTAGCATTCTCCCTATAAACATCGATAGTTTGAGTGTAAGATCACAATTTTTTAAACGGACTAAAAAATCAATAGACAGCCATTGTTTTCATGGTAAACTATTCTGTACACTTTTTCGTTGAGCTGAAAAGAATAAAAATAAAAGCGCTTTGTTCCTCATTTTCCAATGCTCTTATTGTCTGGCATCATGTAGATAATTAAATGACAGATAAAAGGAAATATCTGTATCGGATATAGATAAGGAGTGTAATGCACTGTGGGAAGAAAATTGCAACTTTCTATGACACTAACATAATATCTTGCACTACTTGGTGCTTGAATTACACCATGGCGATCAAAGACAATTATAAGTGCATTCTTTAATATTTTCTGAATTATATTTGCGAAATCTTGGAGAAGCATGACGGCGGGTTTATTCAATTCTTCACCAAAAGAACAGAATCAAACGTAAAAAAACAGCTGAAAAGGATCTTAAGTTGAATCGACCAAAACATTAGTTTCGATTTTCATTTGAAACTTTAATCTAAATTTAATCTAAACTGTTGAAAGTTTGGTAGGAATTGCAAGTTCAACTGGCCTGACTTATGTAACGAAGCGAAAATAGTTGAAAAGAAGCGTTTTGATACCATCGGTAAGATAGAATGTGGTTACAGAAATGAGTATTTGTGATATGGATAGATCGGGACAAATAATTCTTAAATGATAATCGGGTGTTTCGTACGAGATCGAATAAAACATGAAAAAAATATAAGAAATACCTAGCGTGACTAGAACTGAAATCGATATCAATATACGTTTAATTAGCGTCAGTCCACGTTGTGCTCTCGTGGCCGTCATTGATGTGGCAACATTTGCACTCATTATTTTCACTTATTTCGCCAACCGATAGTAGACAAGTCTGATAACTGATACTGGAATTGCGTAAGATCCTATTGCCATACTGAAACGATGAGAGAGTTGCTAAGAGGAACTGTGCACTCACCATCTGGCAAAAACAGTTTCATGTTCCCATCTAATAAAGAACCAAGTGCGTAAAGGCCATCTAGGATCCATTGGACGACAATCAGACACACATAAACACGATAGCGATGAAGATGGGTCGTGCTGCTGTGAACAACAAGGAAAGAGCGATAAACCGCCTGTAGACAGCATAACCAATAAAGTGATAAAATTGGAAACCAAGGTAAATTGCGCTTAAATAAGCAGAATGAGTAACTGAAATGACAACCACTTTCATAGGGGTACATTAGGCTTGCTTGACATGTGATTGAAAACGCAAATCCGAACACAGCGCTATACGTATTAGCAACCGGAATATTAAGAACCGAGTAACGAACCGGATGGCATAAAACGATGACGATTAGTATAAGCGATACTAGAGCTGCAACAAGAGATAAAATGAGACACAGAAATAGAAATACAGTTGATCATTGCATCTTAAAAGTTAAATCAGGCCTGGCACGTAAGCGATTTTGTGTCCTATTTGATACAAAAGGTATATAGGTTGATAGTTCTACACGTTAAGTTAATAAAAAGTAACTAGACTTTAACTACCGTTGAGATTTCCGCCATAAGACTTTGTTATCATATATTTATTATTTTTAGTTTGATGCTGCTTCCTTTCTCATTCTGCTGGTGAATTATTAACCGATAATTTATTTGATATAAAAGGAAACGTTTGAATATACAGACAATAGTGCTCCACTACAAGTTAACAAAACCATGATTTTAATGAGGAAGAAAGCAACTGTCAAACTAAAAACAATAAAAGTATGAAGATAGAGGCGCCTTATGATTGAGGACACATTATAATGATTTAAAATGTACGATGCTAGCTCATGTGCTAGTTCAAAGGTGGCATAAACTAAGTTATCTGTCGTACATGCGTAAGATCTTCAAGTTTTATCTCAATGTTGACTGATATGGGTTGTATCAAAGCATGAGCCAGTTTTAGCTTCGCTGAACAGAATATCTACTATCTATTTCAATATATAAGACCCGTGGCTAATTTTCTGAATAATTTTTTGACGATTAGAGATAGAAACTCGGACAGGAAAGTAAACAATATTTTTCGTCGAAGCAATCAAGTATATCTTTATTCAAGCCAGTTGGAATTAAGTTTTTTTTTTGGTATCGTCCCGATTCGTCGACAAATCGGACACTTCAGAGAATATACATCAAAGAATTTCAAAGGCGGGAGGGGCGGTGTGAGAGTGAGTGTCGACGAATCGGGACTGAATCTTTTTTTTTAATGGCTTTCTTCATCTTGGATGAAATATCTTTGCTTAGATAAAAGGATTATTTATCTTTCATGAATAAGTTTAGAATTCAATTTTATACTTCACAATGAGTGTGCGTTTCGAAATCAATGGTGAAAATCGTTTTCATAATCTTTGGGGTTCTAGTAAAAGATTCTTGTCTTGGTTATTACTCATTTCATAAAGCGGGCCATTTTGTCCAAAAAGAGATTTTGACGTCATGTAGTAGCAAGACCTGTCAACGGTGGTTATTGCCACCATAGTCAAACTCTTTTTTCAGTTAAATAACGCTCATATTTGAGATTATTCGACTTTCGTCCACTTCTCTCCAAATGCTAGTAGCCCGATGATAGTTCCATCAACCGACGATTCAAACTTAATCAAGAAACCGTTTTCTTTCACGAATAAATCTAAGTCAGATTCTGGATAGAGGAAAAACTCTTTTCCATCCCAGAGCAGTTTCGCTAGCAAATGGTTTGCCTGGACCGTAACCAGCAAGGTAAAATTCTGCTGCTTCAGGAAATAACTGCCAGCGAAACTGGCTAGGTTCTGAGGTGTCAGCGCGACAACCTTTTTGGTAACGGGTTTACGAACGCTCCAATTGTACGTAACGGCAATACTCCCGACAATTTCGTCGATTAAATTCATTCCATCATCCGAGTTCGTCATAATCACTGCTCCTTTCCCCAAATAAGCAAAGGCGAACAGAAAACACCTAAATCCTTCATTGGCACCACTGTGATCAAAAGTCAACGAATCGTTATTGCCCTGTAAAGCAGGACCTAAACCCCAGTCGCCCAGGTGTTTGGTGAGCATCTCTTTGGTCATCTGTTTCGAAAGAACTTGATTGGATTCCCCTTGCAGAGATTTTTGTACTTCGATAGCATATAGGGCCAGATCGGATGGGGTGGTCCATAGTCCGGCTGCTGCCATTTCCGGATATATATGCCAATTACCGGATACTGTACCATTAGACCGATGACCAACACTGACTTGTTGCTGCCGTAATGGGTGTAACGGCTGTTGGAAAGTGCTATGTTTCATACCGATGGGAGAAAGTACCGAGCGTTGCATCAGCGTAGAGAAGTTACATGTCGTTACGTCTTCTACTAATTGCTGCATGAGAACATATCCACCACCCGAGTATCGCCAGCGGCTGCCTGGAATCAGATCCGAGATAACAGCCGGTGAATTAGCTGGCTCTTCCCATTCAGGATTTCAATTAACGTAGGCAATGGGTCTCCTTGGGCATAGCCGACGAACCCATGAACGGTAAGGCCCGCCGTATGCGTGAGGAGCCCTCGCAGGGTAACGGGCTCCTTTTCGGTGAAGGAAGTGTTTTTCACCTTCCAGGTTTTAAGATACGCATTCACATTTTCGTCCAGATCTAATTTACGTTGCTCTACTAGTTGCAGAGCGGCTATGGCTGACACTGGTTTACTGATGGAGGCTGCCTGGAATAACGTTAATGTATCGGCTTTTTTCGAGTTGTCTATACTTAAATACCCGTAGGCTTTCGCCCATTCGATTGCTCCCTCGTTGATCAGGGCAATACTGACGGCGGGTACATGGTAGTGTTTCATTCGCTCCGTAATCGTAAACGTTACGGGCGATTCCCCGTCGATCTGTATGGGGTAACATAATCCAGTTTCGACTTTTTGAATTTGTGAAGCTACATCGCTATCCTTTTGTTGGCTTTGGCTAAAGCATAGATACCATAGTAAAGTGATTACTACTAGGATGTATATATGCTTCATGAAAAGATATGAAAACCGATGAGTATAAGTCAAAGACAAGCGAATAATAACCTTAATTTTAAATTGAAAAGTGCAGCCTGTTATTTGATTATTTTGCGATAGAACAACAATAAGAATTACTAATATTTACCTAGAAAAGGTAGTGATCTATAGAAGGCAAACAATTTATCTTTGTTGATCCTAAAGAATATAGAGATTAGTCTTATGTCGATGGAGTAATTGAGAAAGTCACGAAGAATTTGAAATGAAATATTGTTGTCCTTTTGTATAACAAAAGACATACGGTATTTTCATACCTTTAGGTAACAGGCTCATTCCATCTGCAGGGAAGCTTTAGTCACGAATCATGTATCATACAACGAAAAACAAGAGATAAATGTTGAGATCGTCGTCTTATCTTTATAACAACTCACTATCTTATTATCACCCTTAATTTCTCGAGCAAGAAAATAGCGCGTATTTCAAGCAGTGAACGGATATAAAGCGCTTAAACCCATTGCAGATAAGCCGCCATCTATTACCGTACACCGCTGCTCAATAGAGATCCTCATTCGCCATTGTTCACTTTGCAAAATCATCTACACGTGTGTTCACCAGCCAGAATTTTCTCATTGACATTCACTACACTAGGGGAATTTTATGCGGAACTTTAGAATATACTTGATACACGTAGATATGTATAAGTTGTTTGTAATCATAAAAAGAATCTTGTTCGAAAACATTTAGAAAGACCTTATGTAGATATTTTGTCGGTAACTGCACAATGATAACTCAGAACTCAATTAAAAGGAAACATTCCACACAAATCGATGAGACGCGACGATAATACCCAACAATTGTCATATCCGATATACTATGCGCTCCGTTGCTTTGACAGAAGCACCTCTGTCGAAGAAGGATAAAAAGACAGAAAACAGTAAAGTATGATCATGAAACTGTAGCAATGAATCAGGAAAAATAATAAGGCTCTTGCCGTTTCATTCTGACGCCTTAAGGGGCGAGTTTCCCCATTTAGATTTTTCTGAAAATATTTTACAACACCTTCAAACAGATTTCGCTCCTAGGAAGCATTTTCACGGAAAAGTGTGGGTACGAAAGTTGTTCATAATCAGATTACCTGGAATACGAACGAGGGATTTTTCAAAATTCGTTAAACTGGACTTTTAAATTAAATTTTACTAAATTCTAAACTTCTAAAAACCGTACTTTTCAATTCAAAACTCTAATTTAATGAATTTTGAAAACTTCTTCGTTGATATTCCAGGGAATCAGATTCTGAAAAGCTTTCGTACCAACACTTTTCTTTGAAAATGCTTCCTTCGAGCGAAAGAACGGGAACGTATAAGGTCAGAAATCGGCCCACTCTCTTTTCAGAGTAAAAATGGGTTCCCATCAACCAAAAACGCCGCACAATTCAATAACAGATGAAAACAGATACATTTGTTCACTAAAAACCCTTAACTTCTCCACTATACCATTCCCATCGGCGACCTCAAAATAAGTCCTACATGCTCACTAAACGATACCTCTCTCATACTTTTCACACACAAGGAGACTAACAAAACACACGAATCGATAGCCCTTGAAATTCTCCACAAACTGAGCTAGTCAGAATATCTTGACTGCTTGAGCCAGTCACCATAGACATGCAAAAGAAACATTCGAGTGCCGAAAATGCCAGTACAGCCCTCTTTCAGTCATGTTTTTTCCCCACAAAAAATTACATATTGTCTATGATACACTGTTCGATAGCCCTTGAAATTTTCTACAAACTGAGCTAGTCAGAATGTCTTAAGTGGCTGGATCAGCCTCCACAGAGATCCAAAAGAACCGCTCGGATACCGAAAATGGCATTTCAATGAACAATGGAGTCGGTTGTAAGTTGAATAACTCCAGATGGGAAGCAGCTAGAGACCTGCGGTTTTCAAGATGTTCTCTATCGGTTAACATCAAAACCGAGGTTATATGCAGAAATCTAAAAATTTTATTAAACTTATAAAAATGGAGCAAAAAACCCGGACTAACCTTAAGCAAGTATTTTCTCAAAAAGTACAGGTCCGGTACCCGAAAAAAGTATTGAAATGTATACTTCAAAGTGTTCTCTACTAACGGATAGGAAAAACCGAGGACCCCCACCCCCTTTATAAAACGGCTCTTTAGTGTATAGAGAGCAGTGGTATTTTTCTTTTATGAGATCATTAAAAGCAAGTCCTACAGGTAATTTTCTACAAGGAATTTAACAGCAATACCATAACAAGCTAATTCTACTAATAATGTAGTCTCAGATGAGGTTTCTGCCTAAGAAACCGCTTCGACGACTCCCATCAAGTATACTTCACGCTTGTTCAAATGGAAATGAACGTCATATAAAATATCCTCATCCAAATTAGATTATAATAGTTTTTCTATTTTATCGTTAATTCGGTAAAAGCTACTGATTTCGGTCGTCTTAAAATAATTTTTAAATCAATATCAGGTGTAATAGTATTTGTGAATTTTACCAATTTCCTACTCAAAACTTTAGACGATTGTTCGATTATTATTGTTTCAATATTATCAGTTTTAAAGCAAATGTTTATTTATCAGTTTTCCAATTAAAGTGTTAACAAATGTTGCTGGATATCCATATAATTTGCTTCCATCTATATAATTGATTCCATCTAGTTCGTCTGCATAGCAAGAGTTTATATGTCGAGGGTATCTGTACAGCGCGAACTACTAAACTACTTATACATGCAATTTTATAGCTAAATGGAACGTACGAAGTCCACTTAGTCAATAACCCTGAAAACGTATTTTCCTGTGCGAAATACAAGTCTGGTATTTTGTAGGCATGCAACAATCCGATAGTTCGGTGACCGAACGATTCGTAACCAAACATGTTCGGCCTGGAAACTTGGTGTGACCGAACGTGTTCGAACTAAGATTGCAAATACGATAGTTTATATTTTTCTCATCCGAGATATCGGCGAGCGCTCTGTGGCGGAACTATAAGGAAATTAATTAATTTCGGGTTTTCCTTGTAAATTGTCTAAGTTTGCAAAGAAAGCGCTGGGGAGATGTGGAGCTGGGAGATGTCTCACTTTAATCAGAAATTTGTGGGCTGTAATCATGCCTCGTAAAGAAAAGGTTTTAGTTATATTTTAGAGCTCTTGAAAAACTGATTTTCCGGAAAACCCGGTCTTCAAGAGCCATGGGCTCGAGTCCTTTTAGGTTTGTTCTACTCCAGAGATCCTCTCTATATGCCAAAAGTATGAGCTCAAAAACGGTTAATCACTTCGGGTGGTTCCCTTGTAATATTAATTTGCGAATCTAACTTATCCTTATCACTGGTTAAACACTAAAGTTTTGATAGATGTAGTGCGATTCTTCTCATTTTGTGCGACGTATTTTCTTTCATGAGACGCAATACACTGTTGTATTCACTTTCGGCTTCTTTGTGTTGTTCTTTACGCCAATAGATATCGTGAAGTGCCATAGGTCTGATGATTTCATTATCGTAATTATTTTCCCGTTTCTCATCAGGCTGTAAAAACATATTTACATCAAACAAACGTGGTACAGAAATGATCAAAAATGTTTGTATAATTTTGCAATCCCCACTTCAAAACGAAAGTTAAAGCTTATCTATCTACAAATTGCTCTAACAATAAGTTTTCAAGGTATCTAGTCTACAGGTCAATTTGCGAAGAGCGTTGACGAGACAATGGACAAAACGATTAAAGAAGTATGGAATGGTAACGAAAACGTCATGGTAACGGGACTTTACCTGTGGGACTCATTCTTGCCAGAGTATTTATGATTCATCTGGAGGAAGCTTTGTATTCTAAACTTCAAGCTAAAGGAGTAAAATATTATTTGACATACGTAGATGATGCGTTTTTTGTTACTAAATTTTAACTTCCATCTGATAAATTACTTAATTCCTTTCATCCAAGCATCAAATTTGTTTTAGAAATTTTGGTAATTACTGGGAAATTACTGAAATTTCTTTCATTTATTAGACATAGATATCCATAGCAATTACTGAAATTTCTTTTATTGATTAGACAGGGATATCAATTATATTTTTCTTTTGTTCTTCTTGATTTTCTTTGTTTCCTTTTTTTCCTGTTTCTTCTTTCTCTTAATTAATACGTCCAGGAGGAGTGATTTAGGTTCTATATATTGAAAACTATATATTGATTTATTTGTATGTATACAGAATTTTTCTTCTTGTTAACCCTTTTGGGAACAATAAACTTATTTAATGTTAAAAAATTTCTCTTTCTGTATTATTCTTTCTTTACTATTTCTATTTTCCTTCTTCTTCATAGA